ATTGACACATGCGTGCCTGAGGTAGACAGGTGCAACACGCTTTGCAAGGAAGGAATGCAGAAGTCGCGCAATATACATATATCCGCGTTTCTTGTCTTGTCTGCATTATACACCCAGCACAGGAAGTGGCACTAGGCACAACACCGGAGACCTTCGTGAGAGACCAACGCAGTCCCCCCCTGGCCATTCTACGTACTCGCAACTGTACCTGCAGAGAATAAACAGCGAGGATAGAAGCGGGACAATAATGGCCGTTTGGTTTCTTGAGCAGCAAGTGCCCCCTTCGGGCGCGATACAGCACCAAACGGAACAAGAACAAGATGTTTGCAGACCCTCGTCCACACCTTGATCTCCTGGTCTCCCCAAGGAAACTGTCCCTGAAGCGTGATGTTGTTGTCGTCGATGTATCCCTTGATGAGGGAGAGGAGAGACTCGCCGTGGGTGGCCAGCTTCTGGTTGCCTGTAAGCGGTGGGGGTTCCGATCCGCCACAAGAAGAGCACGCATGACAAGGGGGGGGGGGAGACAGAGATAAGTGCGTGTGTACTGGCGGCGCTACCTGGCTGACAGATTTAAAGAAGTGGTAATGCAAAACTGTTTTTGTGGCGTCCCAAAAGCGCTGGACGCCAGAGGTTGTTCGGCACCAACGCGACAAAATATGGGAGGTGTCGTAGTCAATTGTATTCAAGTCTTAGGTTCTTGTATCTGTCATATATTCATAGTTGGTATGCGCAGAGTATTTTGTTGTGTGCGTGTGCTTTGTTTTTGCTTTGAGTTCACGTGTAATATTCAGTGTTTTTCAGTGCTGGTGACGCTTTACCGAGATACAGCAGTCGGCCGCTAGTTTTTCCACCTGAGACCCCGATTTACGGGAACGAAATCTTGTCGATAAATCTTGATCTTCGCCAAGATCTGCCAGTTTCACGATTTATCGGAGCGAAATCTTCCGATATATCTTGGCCAAGATTTCTCGAGGCCCGAAATCTACCCTTTCGAACAAATCTTGACCCAAGATCTGTCGAAGCGAGACTTCCAACAAATCTTGAGCCGGCGTAACAAATTTTGCCTGGGTGCGGCGCGATCACCGAAGATCAATCATCCATAACGCCATGAAATCTGCACGTGGCACACTCGCAAGGGTCCCTAACGAACAATGGCGTCACTGTGTCGGCGCCCATGGCGCCGACAGCGAACGAAAACGACCAAGGCGCGCGAAGAAAATGCGTATTTGCCCTGGCTCGTTCCACGTGTGTCATCACCAGTCTGTCGAGGGACCGTTCAAAGAGTACTTTATTTTGAAGTAGAAAAATAGAGGAGGAGGAACGTTTTGCCAACACAGCTCTGTCACGTGTGACGCTTCAGTCTCTTCATCGAATCACCCCACACCCAATCCGTTTGCACCCGAGCCAGATCCGTGAGTGCAGATGACAGCGCCGGAGGTTTGACCTCGGTACGCCTGCTACATAGTGAGATACGTTCACGGGTGTCATCGGTTTCGGGTTGATGCACTTTGTTGTCAGCTGGACAGCAATGGAACAATTTTGTTTCTCCGCTTGACATGAGCTCGTGGGCAACGGCTTCTATTTTGCACCCCAGGTAGGCGCCCATCGCTAGTATCCACCCATAGTGTTGAGGCAGTACAGCTGGGGGAGGGACGCCCCTTCTACAACTGCGTCATGCTCACTTTTCGCCACACCTTGGCATTTTCTGTGGACCAAGTGGCCGTTGTGCCTTTATCAACTCCAAGCAGAAGAGAGGAACAACACGCCGCTTTTTCAACATTCAACATATTTCCCCCATAAATCGCGATACTGCAAATCCTGGCGGAGATATACTGTGAGCAAATCTTGGGTCAAAGTGCCAAGACATATTTGAAAGATTATGTTTCCAGAAAGAAGGGTCTAACGCTGAAGAAGTCAACTGTTGCACTGCTGTCTGCAAGAACGCTCAATATTTACCTTGTGCCGTAAGAGGCGGAGAGATGACAACCCCCAAGATCGACTTTCAAAGCTTGATTAGTCTACAACCAAGCTTGTGCCAACATCAACAATGGTGGTTTTGGAAACATCTCGTCGAGGGATTTTGGAAATAATAGATATCTCACAGAATGACTAGTCTACCCGTTCGAGATATAACCCCAGTCGAAAGGGATGTGCTCAAGTCTTTTCAGTGAGTTGAGGGAAAACGGCTGGAAAATGGGCTAGTTTCAGTTTGTGGCTTTCCGTGGACGTATCGGGCTCTTGCCGCACCCCCATGATGGTTGTGGATGGGAGCAATCGAAGTTTGAAAGTTGGCCGAGGGGGGGTGCCATATCTCCGCCTCTTACGGTATATCGACCGCCAGAATGTTGTAGGGTACCGCCGCCGTTTGTAGACACACGTGAAAGCAGTACGTCCTCACCTCGCCAGCTTCCGATGTCGCACAGCTCCTCTGATGTGACGGGGACCTTGTGAATTACCTCCAGGAGCTGTAGACAAGAAGCAAGGCGGGGGGGGGGGGGGGGGGTACAAAGAGAGAAAGAGAAGAAGGGGAGGAGA